TGCGGGCCACAGCGCCTGTCAATGCATCATGGCCTACCTTAGTAGAAAGATTTCTTTACTTTTAGCATTTTGATAACCTATCTTTGCAACTAGGTATGAAATTATGCAAGTAAAGTGAAGAATTACGAGGCTTAACCGATTCTTGATAAAGTACTTGTAGGTCAAAGGTAAGACAATGATTGATGCTGTATATGTGTATGAGTTTATGCTTAACGTACTTCTCAGTCAGCCTAGAATACAAGCATTGACTGTTTTTAATTAACTCAAGCAATGGATCCTAAAGACTTGCCCAGGCTCAGATAAGGATAAAAGGATAAAGCATCGCCCTTGATCAATCCCTTTTTGGGATGCGGCACGCATTCTACTTCCATTTGTACATTCGTAGTGGCGTTTGAATGCGATGTGGCCTATACAATGACTTGCGGGGGCCAGCCGATGTACAAGTCAGTGTTTTTATCCTCCCAGACAAGTCTGGTACCAATTAACCGACCCGGAGGGATGGAAGGCTTGGTTGGCGACTCACGACACTTCAAGATTTTATCTCCGGAACCGCTTCGCGTGTAAGTCGTAGCGCCACTTGCCACTAGACCACTTCCGCCCTCAAGCTCAGCATAGCGATACTAAATTAGATTTGGATACAGATTCAGATACTGCATGCGCATGAACACCTGGGATTAACTACCATAATTCATGAATATAATAAGATCAATAAATCAAAACGACGCCATTGAACATGTATCACTATAAAAACAAAGGAATGAAAAGCGAGTGAGAAGTTGGCCTCTGCTAGACATTTGGTAGACTGTTTGCGAAGTTGGTATATGCCCCCAAGAACCCGCAAATGGAGAATTTTGCTCTAAAAGGAATGTTAGGGCGAGCAGTGTTTAGTGGCATGGAATCATTTGCCACGCGAGCGGTCCGGGATCGAATTTCTCGTGAGTCGCCCGGGCCAACCAAGCCTTCCATCCCTCCGGGGTCGGTTAATTGGTACCAGACTTGTCTGGGAGGATAAAAAACACTGACTTGTACATCGGCTGGCCCCCGCAAGTCATTGTATAGGCCACATCGCATTCAAACGCCACTACGAATGTACAAATGGAAGTAGAATGCGTGCCGCATCCCAAAAAGGGATTGATCAACGGCAAATGCTTTTTATTTATTTAAAGAGGCTTGTCTGGCAAGAGAAGCCAAAAATAAGAGAATTGTTTGTCAGGGAATATATTATAAAAAGTGAAACAGTGGTGATTGTTTCGCCTTGACCTAAGGACTTGAACCCCCTCTTTTACCTAATGTTTTTGTTGAGTCTTCGATAAGGTTTGAACCTTCTTCCACTAACAGTGGACACAAGAATGGTGAAGGAATTGAGTATACAGAGTCTTTCCTGTGATATTTTAAATTTCTCTTAGTGTGTTTTGCATTGGAAGAGACCATGCTATGCACCTTGTTTCGTACGACATTAATTACAGGGTACTTTAATTTAATCTGTCTCTGAAATGCTCTACACCCCATTGTAAAGGGAAGGAGAGTTTCATTTAACAAGCAGGAGCCGATCATGTGGGCTTTGCGACCGTGAACTGGCGCCTTTAACGACTACGCCATTTTTGTCCCTATGCAAAAAACTTAATTGGTTAGGAGGTGTCAAAGCATTACCAGTTATAGTCGTTCTTGCAGAAGATCCGATAAAATTCGACCATACAATTGCTGGCAACTATCCTTTCATCCCTACACCCTCGATACCTCGTTACCTTGTAGGTTAACAACGCCGACTTGGATAGTTGCTGGCCCCGTAAATCACCTGCACGGCCACGCTCTCTGGCAGGTTCTGGATCGAAGTCCAATCCTCATGACAACCTAAACGATCGATCAGTATCGAAACGATTGTCATGCTCTAAAGACGAAACTCGCAATGCGCCGATTTCTTTGAAATGTGAAAGAGGTGTCAATGGTGCTTTCAGGAAAAAAAACGAGCACAATGGTTAAAAACCCGGGGAGTTGCACCTTCTTGCCCCCCCCTGGCTCCAAGTTGGAACAAGCCGACCAGGGCTGTTGGCGCTTCGGTGGCAGTAGGAGCAATTCGTCTTACTTGGACCCTCCTTTAACCTTTCCAGTAGCCATTTTATACTTTCATTGGCATGATCTTTTTATTTTATTTATTTTATTTACTTGATTTATTTGTGGTTAAAAAACACGCCATAGAAAAAGAATTAAACAAGCATGAAGATAAAAGAGATTTCCTCAAACAAGAACTGTAAAAATACTAGTAACAAGGAAATCGACCTGAGGTTGAATTCACCAAACTATTTGTAAACAACTAGGAATACTCGGAAAGGAGACGGATAAGCTTGCAGGCCAAGCGGTTCGCAATACTTTCGTGAACTAGTGATAAGTCCGGGGATGAAAGCAGTTAATTTTGAAAAGATGTTCCTAAAACTTTATCACGAGGTTTCTCTTCAATATAAAATCTTCAGCAGAACTTCCCTCGCCTTCTAAATCAAGTTGAATTCTCAGAAAATTCGGGCGAGTGCTAATGCGATCGAATGCGATAGTTTCATCGAAGGAAATGGATGGTCGTTCTCGAAAAATGATTCCACCTACGATTTCACTTCCACACACACACTCGCATTTCGTAAATGGGTCATCCTTATTAGGGCAAGGCGAAATAGAAGAAAATGAGAGTTTTTTAAGCAATTTTGGGCCCAATTTCACTAGCATGCCATAGTGGGAGGCTATGGGATTTTCGGGTTTTTTCCCTCCAGACAGTAGCTTTCGGGAAGGGTGGCGGTGGTTGACGTCGCATTCCTATCCCCTCCTGTCGATGCTGCCACCCGTCTCGAACTAACAGTTTCCTCTACTCTCTCAAAGGTTCTAAACCACTTCACCATCGCAAAAACTCCTGCCCTGATACCAGTCGGTCGTAATTGGTATTCTGACGAAGATATCTCGTTCCTGTTCTTCTTCTACAATTACTCATTCACCAACTGCTTCCTCGAAACCGAATACGGTAATTGGGTTGGGCCAAAGAAAAAGTAAAGGAAGCCATTAGCTATTTTCTGACGTAAGGTTACGCAAGATTCTTGGGTGCTACTTTTTTCAAAATTATGTGGTAAGAATTGAATTCCTTGAAAGGCCGGGGTATTGGCTTCCGCTTATTAGATTCGCGCAATGCTAAGAGATTTCCTTAGTCACATCACCTGAAACACTGTTCCGTCGCACGTTTCTGGGTCACGGCCCCTCCCTTCCGACAGTCGCCTTACCAAAGTCATTGACCAGTTATGAACGTCGTCGCCGATTTTACCTATATTCCCGAGAACCACGACAACCCTATTCGGTACTCGACCCAAAACCTCGAGACCTCCTTCGTTTGCTTTCGATTTAGCTGTTTTTCGGCGTATTCCTGGGACGATTTGGCGAGTCCAGACTTTAATTGGCTCTTGACGTTTTGGCCAACGTCGTGGCTAACCAAGCAACATGGCGCTGAGGCTTAAAACTGCGCTATCCATTCTTGTCTTTGGGAAGGACAAACTGGGAAAAATCACGAAACTTTTCTCGTATTCCAAGTTCTTCACGACTGTCACCATGACGCGCCTTGTGTGTGCCGTTTCTCTCGCTTCTCATTTACCAAACTGATCCCCAATGCGGTATGACCTTCCTGCTATCAGTTGCCTGCTGGCAGCCACATTCTGTGACCTAATTTTCAAACTGTGCGCTCAGTCAATTCATTTATATCCGCCGCTCTTTCGGTGCTGGACCAACGGGGCCGCTGCCTGGCTAGCGGCTAATAAATTTTGGCAGTCGCACCCGCTCTGATCGGAATCCTTTCTTTTTTTGGATTCGAAAACCTCTCTTGCTGATATTAGGGACCGTCCGTTGCCTCACGCTCACAATCTTGTCTCTAATCGGAGTGTTCCTCGCGCAAACCAACTAACTACACGATTGGATCTAGCTGCTGCTGCTGCTGCTGCTGCCGTCGCCGCCCTCGCTTAACGAGGAGGATCTGGAAGCCTACGTGGGCGACAAAGTGCGAACAAGCCTCAGTGGCGCCAGCTATTCCCACCATCGTCACAGTTTCTTGTGATCGCCTTCGATTGCTGTCGAGTAGCTTGAATCGCATAACTCAAGCCACACTTGTGCCCTCTTATCCTTTGATAGCCGGCCTTTCTTCGGCGTCAACAGTAATTTTTTATCTGTTGCGTTTCATCGTCGAGTGCCGACGACCTTCGGGAGGATCTTGCGCAACGCAGCGTCTTCTCCACAGCCACCCTCCGCTCTCCATGAGTCACTCACGTTATCTCCATGATCAACCTGATTTCTCTTTTCCTTTGTATTCTCGCTTTCAATCGCTTTTCCGGGAAGGAAAATCCCGTGCAAAATTTCTTTATCAGTTCATTTTTGCTGTAAAACGGCCGTTCAGCCGGAATCTCTCGACTAAACGTTCGCCATTTTCCAAAAGGCGGGCCGCCTTCTTCGCCGCTCTTGACCGTCTTACTCGATTTGAGGTTATAGCCCTCTATTGGCCGACAACGCCAAGCAACCATCGACGGATATCTGCTACTTCCCACGATTCCGGCCGTCCTAAGCCTGTCTACAGGCTACTTTTTCTACTCCCTGTCAATTCTCAGGTGGTTTTTACCATGAGCGGAAAAACGTTTGCGGAATGTCACTCCTCGCGCTGAACTTCGGTGTTTCAAGTGGGGTCTTGAGTCCAATACAAGCCAATTATGTTGTCACACCTACAGTGACCTCACACTCACTCACTCGTTCACTCGCTCACTCCTTTCGCTTTCAACGGGAACAATTGAGTAAAGGAACACGGTGGGACACTTGGTAAAAGTTCCTCTCCTGAAGAAACTTTCTAAGCAAACACAGGGGTGGAAAATTACCGCCGAAAAAGTGCTCCTTCAATTCTCTGCAGTTTTAGTTCGTTTCCGAGTATCGTTGTTCCACTCGCTCTCGTTTTTATTTTGCGAATGATTAAATGATTTATGAAATCCTTTTTTCAGATGCCCTGGTGGGCGATATTGTTGCTGGCATTAGCCGGCACCACATGGGCTCACGTCCGGCTCACATTCCCACCGGCACGACAACCTGATTTCGACTATTTCACCTCGGCAAATAGCCGACTGCCATGTGGTGTTCCAAAGCCACCCATCAACAAAGGTTTTTTCATTTTCTCTCGTGTTTTTTCTTTGACTTTCCCGTTACTGTTTCATCATTCAATCCGGAAGAGATGGAGAAAAAAGGAAGGGAAAGATAAAATGATGACCTTTGTGTGAGTCCAGGCTCATTTTCCATTCATGGGTTCGCTTTTTCAGCAGAGAGTTTCAGCAGAAAGCAGTAATGATTCGCTGGACGATCCGGTGCTGCAGTTTCCTCCCATACCATTTATTTCATAGCTTCAAAAGTCCGATCCGGTAAAAGCAAATGGACGTTGGTGAAACGTTCCCCAAAAAATCTGAATCTTCCTTCAAGTGTGCACAACTAAGCTTCGATCGTATTTGAGAAGACAAAACAATAAGTATTAATACCCAAAAATTCCATCATCACAGCAAAAAAAAGCCCTCTTAAGAATCTCGAAAGTGACAGCGATCTAAGCAATCTGGATCACCGTGGCGTTTTGCTTCCAAAACGGATTAGGTTATTCGACTACAGTTGTCGGAACCCACTATCTAACCAACCAAAGTCACAAAATTTCTTGCGAGTTGCACAGTCTATATAGAAGAGTATGGTTTCCTCAAATAAGTTTCGCATTTAAGCAGCGCGTGAAATAAAAATCGCGTATTCCATATGCACGACAATAAGGATAATAAGATAAACTGAACAATAAATAATAATAACAAAATAATAAAATAATAAGATGATGACTATTTGATTGGGACAGTGCGCATCAATTTTATACAACGCATTAAAGCATTCCACGAAGGCACACCCAACTGTGTAAAGTGCCTAACTTGGCGTCCGCCCTAAACTTGTAAGGCTTTTCGGTATAGGTGAGTCCGAACCTTGTCCAAAAGCTACTCGAAGCTACATTCCACCGGAATCACTTAATTTGGCACGCAGGCTTGTCTGAAAAATCTTTCTGGCCCCTCTCTCTTCCTGCGCTGCTTGCTATCATTGTGAAGAATTCCATGCCGAGAGAGGACGGTGAAGCAATCTAGGTGAGGAAGAGTTCGTTAGCCTGGATAACAACCATCTGCTGACCTTACGACCGCAAGGCTAACGTTAGGGAGATTAAGAAGAAGAATCTTAGGTTTGGCCCTCGAACTGCACCCGCATTACCATTTATGCAGTTCACGGGGAAAGTTTCAGATTTCATATGGTAGAAATTTTTCCCTGTTGAAGTGTTGAAAGCAATTGTGACATCACAGCTATGCCCACTCCTTCATTTTGGCTTGCTTTTGATTCTAAAGGATTCGTAAAGCAACTAATAGGAGGTCTCCAAGGGTGGTCCCACCTTCAGTAGGCCATTTTAGGGCGCCGCCGCGTCAAACATTGACAAAAACTCGCCTAAATGGGAACAGTGTTCAGTTTCTGGAAATGGAACAATTGGAAAATAGCACAGTAAATACGAAAATGGAGTACATGGACTTGTTCTTGAGTGTAGTTCTTTGCCTTAAATATGAATTTCCTAAAGACTTAAATGTTCGTAAGTAGTTGTACACACTGGAACCTTGGCGATGACGTAAAAACCCGCACAGCGTTTAGCCTAAAACTAGTAATCAGGGCCCATCAAAAGCCTATTTAAAATAGCAACCTAGGGGTTTACTCAAGTTCTATGGAAGCCTTCACCTTTGGGGGAGGGGGTATCTTCAAGTAGCTCTAGGTCTTGCCTAAGCGCATAGCCTTAAAAGGTCACAGTTGGAAATTGCGTCGCATTCGATTCCATTTCTAGATTCTTATTATGAAACCTGATTCAGTTTTGGCCAAACTCAATAATTCTTTTTGTTCAACCCTCATCATGGCATCAAGGACCAGTTTCATACGATTTTTGCAATTTTGGGAGCAATTTGGTGTTATTGAATGAGGTTTCGCCGGGAATAATAGTTCCCTCACAATGAGATAAAGCTAAAAATAATGCGATTGTAGTTTGATTACTGATTTTTGGCCAGGTAGTTTCAATTTCAGGAACCAGTTCTTTTAGTTTCAGGGAAAATGATTGGAAATTTATGAGCAATACGGTGATTCATCTGTCGAATATTCTTCATTGATCAACTTTTATGGCCGATGTAAATGTTTGGAACTTGTCCGCTTTCAAAACCCGCGTAGTTCCATTTTTGGGGGTTCAAGTTCAATTTTCTTGACTGTTAAGTTTTTTAGGCATAAACTCTGTTTATAAGATATTTTTACTATTTTCGAAATTCTCAAAGCTAAGCGCTAGTGAAGACGCAATTGGTTCCTTAGCGGGATCGGAACAATAAAAGTGACTCAGCGATGACTTCCTCAGAAGGAATTCGCGTCATAGCGAGATGAGAATCGTGGAAGTGACTAAGCGATCATTTTCTATCCCTAGGATCCACGATAAACTTTATCGGCACTTTTTGGCCCGAAAAAGCTCGCGGGCCTGCGCGCTGATGTCCCGCAGATTGATCCCTGCAGCTGCAAGGTGCGGACCTGTTTGACGAGATGGGCGACGACGTGATCAATTTGACGTTCTTTTGCCATAACCGTCCCACTTTCTGTCGAACATCCTCAATAAGCGGTCAGAAAAACAGGCCTAAAATCTTTTCCTCGAACGAACGTCGTTGAAAAGAGCCGTACGATACGGGGAAAAACCGCATATAAGTAAGATGGTATTTGACGCGTCGCCTGTGATGTCCTTCAAGTTGACCGGAAAAGTCGAAATCAGACGTCGTCAAGGCCATGAGAAACAACCGTGTAGCACTAGTATTGTTAATGTGGGTCCCATGGTGATTCCCTGTTTCAATTGAAGTTAAATGATTTCAGGTGTGCGAACGTTTTTGAAATCCGGTTCAACTATCGACGTGCAATGGGCAACTGCTATTCCTCATATGGTGAGTACCGTTAGCGGTAGATTGGTGGAGGATCTGGTGGGGAACGATTGATGAGTCGCTTGTCGCACCTCAATCACACAACGAATGCGCTCCGTTATCTGTCCGTAATCCCTCCAATTACGTCTAGCCGCATATCTCTATCGCGTAACACATCTAAGGGCCAAGGTTATCCTGGTCAGCTAGCTCCGTTCACTACTAGTTCCAATATTGGACATTAGCCAACTTGGTCAAGAATTGGGAATATTGAACAAAAATGGAGAATTTCAGGGTGGAATTCGATTGGAAGTGCTCAACGCGCTCGATGAGCCCATAGCCATCTTCACAAACTTTCTTGATCCCTACAACATCACGTAAGCGCTACCGTACCCGTACCGTTACCGTGTCATTAGATTCGGCTTTTAATGAACGGTTTCAGACAGGGTGGAAAGCCGATCATTTTGCCGCCAGGTTTCGAATGTGCTGATTGCGCGATTCGAATCACACATCAAGCCACGGAATACGGCGACGATTACTTCTTCTACAGCTGCGCCGATGTGAACATTCTCAAAGGTATGATTTGATGGTCCGTTTGGTTGGTTGTTATGCTCGGGTTATCCAGGAGATCAGCTTCGGAGGGTAGAAAGTGACATCTGCCGGTCTATGAAGAAGTTTCTTCGTCTTGCACTGTATATCTGTCATGATGCGCTCGAACTATCGAAATCAAGTGCTGTGCGGCTTCCGCCGGCCGTCGCGCGGACGTTTTAGAAACGCCCTAGAAGTTTCGCGCAGAAGTAGAAGGTGTAGCTCATCCCTGGGTAAAACACTTTAGAGCTTGCTCTATGAAACTTCGCAAGAGAAGGCCCAACTTGACTTTCAAGGAATGCGCCACGCACTTATTCTTTGCTTGATATCCTTGTCTTTCAAGATAAGATAAGCTTCAAGATCTATCAGATTGGATTAAGGTTATTGAATTATCGCCATTCAAATTATCACTCCGTAAAAGACCCCACAAGTGCGGCTTATGGCTCAACTCGGAACCGGTGTTATGTTCCTGTACAAATGATGCTTGTTCGACTGCCACGGCATTACCTCGGTTACCTGAAAAACGCTGTGTCTGGTCTCACATCGTACGATTCTTAAATGCTATGTTGAACCTATCTTACTGGAATGGGCTTGTTCGGCGCCAGCAATATTACTGTGTTCATTGTTTAGTTTGGGAGGACCTACCAACTAGAGCCCGCCCCATAGCTTTCTCCTCAAAGGGATGGAAAATTTTACAACGTATGTTTATCCTTTTTGATGAGTTCACAGCTGGGATCGAGGAATCAAGGGCTTTTGGTAGGGTCATACCCGTGTCGTAGAAACGAAGGGTTTTTTTTTTTTTTTTTTTTTTTTTTTTTTTTTTTTTTTTTTTTTTTTTTTTTTTTTTTTTTTTTTTTTTTTTTTTTTTTTTTTTTTTTTTTTTTTTTTTTTTTTTTTTTTTTTTTTTTTTTTTTTTTTTTTTTTTTTTTTTTTTTTTTTTTTTTTTTTTTTTTTTTTTTTTTTTTTTTTTTTTTTTTTTTTTTTTTTTTTTTTGTGTAGGGCGCGGGTCATAATATGTAGGTAGGATTGAGCATGCTATTGCTTTGTGGACTATACACCCCCTCCAAAGCCGAATGAGAGCTCCGTTTTGAGGAAATGCTGTATTGTGACACCAAGCATCCAACGCCACCTGATCATAATTTTCTAACACTATGGTTGCAAGTTTTCACACAAGATGCTCTGGTGCAAGCGTAAGATAAAAATTTCGCAATTTCTGCTTCTGCTTTAGCCACCGAGATTGGTATCAACTTTATTCGGCTAACGTTTCGGCGCAATCGCCTTCTTCGGAGCCTGCAAATCAAAGCATATTTTTGAAACAAATTCATTCAAGCACCATTTTGGATCACATGAAGGAAAAACTGAGGGGAAATGAGTCAAGCACGAAGTCGTAACCAGCTAACCTTATTAGAAGCCGAGCGTTAGAAGGCACCCTTTGCTTAAAGACCGTAAAGCGACTTTAAAGCAGAAGCAGAAGACGATTATAATCATGCCGAGATTAATGGAGAGTCGTTCATGGACCTATTTTCGCAATTTCCTCTGTGGATAGCAGATTCTCCCTTAGAACGACGAGTTTCTCTGGATAGCACTTTTTTCACAGCTCTCAGAACCCGGCAGTAGAAATCCCTTCACCATCTGTCGCCCGCAGACCGAGTTTAGTGACTCTCCACGATTCACATTTTTTTTCTTCCAGTGTGGATTTTTCCACTTTTCGGCAGCTAGTGAACATATTTCAATATCGCACAGCTGTCACCAGGTGAGCACTATGAACAGATCAAATCATCCAGTGAGAAAAGCCTATCGGACCCGATCTATTAGCATCTTGTATGGGCTTGAGAATAGGGTTATCTCCGCCTTTCATCCCCGTCCGCCAGCTGTTTGTCAGAACAAGATATTCCCTTCGACAGGGGAGGCACTACTAAGGGTATCAAAAAAGCTCGACTGCATTTGTATGCACGAATATTAATCCTCCACGATTTTCGGTACACGAAACCTTAATCGGGAGGATAGATGGGAGATCTTCTAGCAGAACTCTCTAAGGCTCTGGTTGTAATCTGATTAATTGGTTTATTGATTTTTTGACAATGATTATTTGATTCTTCTTTTTCGTCACTTCCATTTCATCTTCAAAAAATGTAAGGCCGTAACTGTTTTTGAGCCCCTTTGTTGGCGAAGAGCGGACTTTTCCGCACATGGTACGTCGCGCAGTTGTGAAAGGCAACACCACGCATCGTTCGAAGTTTCAAACCCCACTGCGGCTAACCATCCAATCTTTTCCTTCTCACGTGATCAACTACCTTCTTACCTTCATGACGCTTATCTCAAAAATATTCACTCAAAGGTAGTGCCATTTGAGGTTTAATCATATTCCTTGAACTCCCTACGAAATGCCACCAATATTTCTCATGTAATTCGAATGCGCGGCACATCCCAAGAAACTCTGATGCACGGCATACCACGGCAGGTTCTTCCCTAAAGCGCCTGTTTTATGTTTAAAATGCTCCTTAGAGTTTTCGTCTTCGAAACACAGTTAGTACAATTTACGTGATGCTACGGCGATTAGGCGCCTGTGTCTCTTTACACGAAGCTGTCCTTGGGTTAGTAAACGCGGCTGGCTAGAAAAACCTAAGCGAACAATGCCATCTTAAACTCTTGCGCATCCTTCTTACTCGTATTTTATGAGAGACATGAATCATCGGTACTGCTAGATATTAGGCATTAAAAATCGATTACAAAGACAAGTTCTGTGAGCGGTCTGCTCGGAATTGTTGGGAATTCGGTCTTCCAGAAATTAGCGATGGTGATGAATTTTACAAATCAGTCGCAGGGTTTTCTGACTCCCAGGGAATGCTTCCAACTTCACGTGGAACTTTGGATGGAGACCCTCCCAAATCGGTAGAGTACTGAATACTACACAGATATGTAGACCAAAGCTGCTACGGGACCTTTCCAGGCAAGAGTTGTGAGCGGTCAACTTGGCAGGAATCAGTAGGAAAGTAAGTTGCGGCATCAAAACTGGCGTCCCGATCGCCTCCGTCTCAAAAATTGAACGTCAATATTCCGTGACCGAGATTCGTGATTCGTTCTGTTACCCCTATGGGCACTGTTTCAGGAAGAACTAAAAAGCCTGCGACTAAAAGCTCGCCTCCTAGACTGAGCTAACCCTTCCTGTCAACTATTACCCCCGCCACGATTTGCTTGGACTGTTCGCGTAACAGTTTGGTACCAATATTTGTAACTAGTATTCATTCTATTGATTCATCTCGGTCTCCTTTCATAGTTCCATGGGAGGTTGAAAGCATTTTCTGGTGAGTCCAAAAGGGACTTGCTTGTTGATGGATCCCTTTCGAAGCTTATAGGGTGCCAAAAACTTCGTCAAACGCCGTCCGCTGGACAGTTTGAACTATGTAGTTGATTTGCAATATCGGGAAGGGATCGTATTTGGGACTCGAGCAGCAAGATTATCCATTTCTTGAGAAAGTTCGAGCTGTTGTCGCATTTGCAGAAGTTGGGTCGCAGTTGTAGTAGAAGGCAGGTAGAAGAGGCTCGTTTTGACAAGATTTTTGACGGATGTGACGAAAATTTAGCCCATGGCTGATGGAGGTGGTGGGGCTCGTGTCGAGACAACCGTAAGAACGGAAGGCCGTGAAAGTTCTGAAAAAGTGCGAACACGACTGTTGACCTTGGTTTGGAATCAGTCATATTCGTACAAGACAAAATTAAGGCTGACTAGTTTAAAATGTTCATAGATGCACCACGTATGAATCATCTTCCATCTAAGATTTTAATATAGTCATTTCAATGCGTATTTGGCTTAAATAAAACCTATGAGAGTGGGCTTGTTACCGAAGGAAGGGTGAATGCCTCGATAGGCCAGAGCAGGATCTTATTTAGTATGCGATCTCACCGGACAATGTGCTAATACAATGGGCCTTCTTCAAAAATCCCCGAAAGATTCTGTAGGCATGGAAGGTGTTCCAGATTCTAAAGAATTTTGAAAGCCTTCCAGAAGGCTTAGGTTTGGTATAACTGCAGCGCTTTTGCGAGTGATTAAGCTGAGATACAGGAATTGTCAATTGCTATTTCTGCTACATGTTGCTTGGCCGAGCTAAGTTACCCCTTCCTTTCTTCAAAGCGAACTTGATAAGGGCCTAACTATTTGTGACTTCTTTCAAACTTTGTTTTTGCTAATTGTTTAGAGAAAAGGGGAATGATGTTGAGGAAAAGGAAGGATGAAGATGACGCTGACCGGAATTTTTGATTGTTAGCTGCTGGTTTTTTTTGACCGCTATTGCCCTAAGCGAGAGGTGCGGGTTCGGGTCCCTCCTGGGACGAAAGTTTTGTTCATACCTGATTATGAAAGCTATTGGAGCGTTTGGACTTCTATGTTATATTATGTAAACGATGGCATCCGAGATTCCGAATAGAATTCCAGTGCGTTTCGCATTCCATGTTTCGACCAAATCCTGATGCAGCTTTATCTAACAATTGTGGTCTGTGCGCCTGCAGCAGAATACACAAACAACTGACGCGGCCACGACAGAAATGTCATGTAAGCTGACTTATGAGAGCTTGTTATTACGCTAAATGATACTTGCATTAGCGACTCTTCAGAAACATACAACGATCATTTCGTTGGCAGAAGCCTTCACTTTTGTGGATGTTGTCGTTACTTATGCTGTGAAGTCCGCAGTGCAGACGCATCTGAGTGCTAGATGCAAAGAGTGCGTCATTCAAATCGCGAATTGTCGCGTCGCTTTCCTAATCATGACCTCACTAAAGGCTGCGGTATGCAATCGATCTTGCACGATTCAGAACCAAGACAGAGTGCGTGGCGCATCTTCGACAGACCGGTCATTCCTCAGCCTTTTGTCTTCTTATCATTTTTTACTGCCTGGGAAAATAGTTGGTGTAACTTGTGAGAATAGCATCTAAGTGCCGAATAGACGAAGCCCAGACCAGTTCTTTCGTGACAAGCCTAGCTGTTGGTGGTCATCGATAT